ATTGATGGAATTCTCCCGGACAATGATTTAAGATTCTTTTTAAGGTTTCATAATTCTATAAAAAAGATGTGAAGAGTGTCTTTTCCCCTGTTTGGTAGCTCTGGTGTGCGATGGTTATCAAAACATCAGTATCTTTGCTGTGTCAGTGACTTTTAAAAGAGGGCAAAATTGAAACTGATTCAGCACACCGTAATGGTGTTGATGATAGGAGTAAAAGAGATCTGGGGAAACTGTTCTCCTTGACCTTTACTGGAAGGTTTTTCAGTTAGGTAGTCACCATGCGAAGCGATACTATCCAAGTGCACCGAGAGCTCATGCAGTCAGGGCCGGCAGGACCCACGTTGTTCATAGACCGGTATGAGGTGGGAAGTTCACATTCTAATTTAATGTGGCCTGAAATTACACATTGGTCCTGAGGAAACAGATTAAAAGAGCTAAATGAAAACTTAAAAAAACAATACAGACTGGGTGAAGATACAAGTACCTCAGGGCCTAACTGAATATGTAATTCAAAGGAGTTGTCACCTGATGCCATTCTTTTCACTATAAGATATGTGGCTCAGCAGTCTGAATGGCTTCAGGGAAATGAGATGAAATAAAGTCAAAGTGGTAATTCCATAAGCTATAAAAATGCTGCAATTTATATACTATAATAAACAGTAATGATAAAACGAAATAATACAAAGAGATTTTAAAATTATATGACATTTAGTCTGCTTTCTGTACTCTAAGTAATGGCACTTAACTCTGTCATTATACCCCATTGTGGGTTTGATCAAATATTATTGCAATAATTAGAGTTGAGGTATTGAATTATGTAAATGGTTTAAATTTTTTTAAATTAGAGTACATCTAACATGGTCCATATAATATCCCCACTTGCTCTCATGGACACTTCTTCTATGAAGCGTAGTCTTTCTTTAGCATTTTAATATTTTGTTACTTTCTTCCTTGACATATATATGTTCCAGAATATGTTTTTAATGACTTGTCTGCCTTTTGATTTGTTTGCTTTTTAGAAGGGAAGTGATAACCATGTGCACTTCAGGTGCTTTTTACCGACCTAACATCCTGTAATCTGGTGAATTCATAGGACTGTTTCATTCATGCATGTAAATATTTGGTGTATGTGTTATAATAGAAAAAAACTGTCTAAGGACTTCCTCATGCTTACATATCCATTGTCTCCATACTGTTATGTTCAGTCGATTAGTGGACAGTGCCAAGTTTACTTTGGAACTCATTGGCAAGTCAGGTCAGGTTTATCAGCTTCTTTGTCTTTGTGCTTCATTGTTCCTGAAATCTCCTCCCTTTTTTTTGAACATTGCTGGCCTCTTTTAGGATGAGATAGTTTCAAGTCTGAACCAGATCATCATAGCACTCATTGTACTTTAACGGCTATTTTGTTAATTACTATTAAACAGAATATAAATGTTATGAATTAACCTGTTGCTTTCTTAAAAATTACTTGTTCCATGGTAGAATGTTCTATTGCTTTCAGCCACTTTTTAAACCAGCATAGTGACCACATGAGGTAAATACTATTACACTAGTTTTTTGGTTGAAAATCTGAGACTCAGATTTATCCAAGTTCACAAACAACTACCAGACTTGGTTTTGAAATTCATTTCTATGTGGATTATGCAGGCCAGGCTCTTTTCAACAGCCACAGTGGCAGAAATAAAATGTCCTCTGACATTTTCTCACTGTCTGCTTCTTTAAAACTATAAAAACCAAACTTATAAATCTTGAGCATTTTCTGTTCATTAAGAGTAAGTAAAAACAGGCAGAAAGTTGGAGGTGCCCTCGTGTCCCTTCTTTTCTCATATATCTATAAGATCTCCTGTGACTTCCTGCTTTATCCGCACCCCCAAAATGTGTTATCCATAATGGAGGCTCATCTTCTTTTTTTTTTAAGCCTAGTAGAATGTGCCAGCATTTACACTGACTGTAACTGACAACTTTAAACAACCTATAGATGTTTATTTTTTCTTATAATATATACTAAACTGAACATTATTCAATTTTGCATTATAGAGCAATTCAAAATGCAAGACTGCTTGCTAATTTTATTTATTTTCACCCACAATCAATTATTTTACCTAACAATTTAGAATTGTGCTAAGAGAAGAAATAAAGTAGGTTTACAGTCTTCAAAAGATCTATGAGCAGAACTAAAATTATATATCTACTAACTCCTTCACAGATATTAAGCCAATCCAGTATTGTACCTGCAGTGATTGTAAGAGGAAATTACTTGCTAGAAATCTAGAAAAAATTCACAAAGAGATCAATAGTGATTCTTAAAAGAATTTTATGGTATTTCCTTTTTATTACCCTAAAGATACAGATTTAGTAAGGGTTTACTTCTCAACAGCAGAGGAGAGGAGTAGTGAAAAAAGGCAATTTATAAAGCCCTCAAAATACATCTGATTAAATCATGAACAAACCATAGCTAGCCTAATTTTATGTTTAGAAATCTAGAGACTATTCTAATAAAATGTAAGAAGCTGAATGCTTATGTTGTAAGAACTTTTTTAACTTTATTTCCACAATTTGTCAAATTAGTTCATAAATTGTAAACTTTGGTAAGTGGATAATCCATGTCCAAATATGAATTGTCCAATTTTACCTTAGTGATAGGCAATAAATCTGATCACCTAAATCTCTAAAGTTAAATTCACTTATTTAAGTTTTCTTATAAGAAAAGCACTTTACTTTAGATTTAATTTACAATTTTTATTTTACTTTATGATGTTTTTATTGCAAATTGAAACAAAACAAATGTATTCAGAAAAGAAAAATTATTATGACATCCAGTTCTACTTCTGCTTTCAGTCTTGTTCAATAAAATAAAACCATCCTTGACACACACACACAAAAGTGACCGTCTTTTGCTTTTCATATGTAGATCCTCACTAATAAGGAATGAAGGAATTATACTGGAAAATCATCTGGTGTTTCCCTTGTCTTTTAAAAACAGGAACTTTTTTTTAACATACACTATAAATACATAAACTTTAAAAAATTACTTGAGTTTGAAATTTGTAAATTAAAATTTTAATATGCCATTAAATGAATTATCTCTTCATTTACTTATAGCAATATTACCAATAAAGTGGAAAAAGAACCTGCACAGATGTCTACTACTAGTAGACTGATCACAGATCTAGTAGACTGACTACAACATAATCAACAACGGTCACCTTTCCACTAGATAACTATGTAACAAAAAGATTGGTTGACTAAAATATACTTAGGGGATTACATAATTTCATCTATGAAAACAAGGGAGCAAAAAAATAGTTGCTCTCCTAAACCTATAATTTGAACTTATTTTTATTACATGATCCTTGAAGATGCATTATAGAAAATATGTTACACTGTATCACAAAGCCCCATCAAACTATTTCAAATTGTTTATATTCTTTTTTTTGACTAGTGTTAAGGTAGGAATTACTAGATAAGACTTTGCAAACTGGAAGGTGACATACAGGTAATACAAGTAGAAGTAATTATTATCAATAGAATATTGATATGTGAAATGTGATAAAATCTTCCAAAAGAGCATTTTCTTGGTTTTTCACTATATTTTCTTCATTTCATTAGCAAATACACTTTATTTTGCAAAAACTTAAATCATATTCAGTTCTCAGTGTGTGGGGGTATGTGATAAGATGAAATAAGTGCACTCCATCCTTTCTCTCCCACTGAATGCAATTATAAAACCTGGACAGGATGCATGGAGCAGCTATTTGAGAACACTGAAAAGTAAATAACAGCAGTCACATTGAGGAAGAAGATCAGAATTCAAAGTAACACCAGATCAGCAGCAAGTTCATCAGTTTTCTTTTTGAGAAGTCTCCAGCGTTAATACACTGCAGCAGGAGACCCAGAAGTGACACTGGGGTGCAGACAAAGAGAGCTCTTGGAGAAGCATTCTTGGTTTGGTTCAGGATGTGGGAAAAGGAGATCTTAACACTTAAAATGAGTGCAAAATCCACCTCCCCCTTAATTTAATTATTTCTCCATTTTTTCATGCCCTAGCCCCCAAGCAATTTCCGAACATGGCAGCAGAGATGGCAGTGGAAAGACAGTGAATCCACTGTCTTTCTCAGTCTTTCTTCCTTATGGTCTGACTTGTAAACCAGGAGCTGATTTACAGATGTGTTATCAGTAGGTGTCACAATTTGATCCTACCTCTTTTATTGCCTGGGAGTCCTCCTTACCGAGGCCATGGAGCATATTCATATGGTCTTTTTTCAAAGGGATGTGTGAAGAAACATTTAAAGAGCTAGTTGGGACATTTAAGAATTGCAAAATGGGAGGTTTGTTCCTACAATAGACTTTATTTTATTTTGTATTATATTGATCACTCAATTGTATTAATGTGAAACTTTTCATTTGTCTGCGTCTTAATACTTATCTCAGTTTTAATTAGAGAACAAGAATTACATAAACATCCTATTTCCAGCAACCCAATTTTATGCCAGGTAGACACGAATAAACTTACTGAAAGTAAGTAAAGGTGAGTTGCCCTTTTGCAAATATCTGAGGGGAATTCAGTGAACTTCTTAGGCTGAGATCTCTTTAATTTTGGAATATTCAGCACAGGGATCTGTGCAGTTGTTTCCTATTTTCATTGCTGTAACAGTTAAGGATAAAAGACAAATAAAATAGCAATTGAATTGCTCGCTTTTATGAGTACTATTAAGGAATTATGAAGTGAATAAAAGTTCCAGTCTGGTTCTTTGATGTGGGCCAAGTTGTGTTATTCCAAGATCTCTAAGAAGTAAGAATGTATAATTAATGTGCCAGGGGTCTACAATCAAAATGGCAGTCTCTGTTTATAATTATCAGAGGACATCTTAGTATCAGTAATGTGAAGAAGAAATAAAATAATGTAATTATTAACATAATGATTTCATTTAAATAGAACAGCTTAAACGTTTAATGCCTTTTTCCATAAAACTATCTTTTTTTCTTCAAACTATTCTTACCTTGGCAGATCTCTGTTTCTAAACTTCTGTTCCAAAAGTGTCAAGGATGCTGACTGAAAAAGAATGTGTTGAAATACAGGGATCAGTTTCAAAGAAGATAAACCAAAATAAATGGGTACTAGTTTTGCTTCATTTTCTCACAGATCATTTTCTATTCTTTTGTGCCCTCTTTTGAGTTCTGAAATTCTAATTTGTAATGTTACCTTTCACTCTTGCTTCCCATTTGGTCTAGTCAATGGAAAGTACCATTAGGAGATCACAGGGAGATTAGAAAGGACATTTGGTCTTTACTTCCCTCCACTTCCCACCTGTTCACTGGCCATGGTTTAGCAGTAGTTTTTGTTCCTTTACTTGCACTCAGAGTTCCTATGGTTACAGCTTTCGCCAAGTTGTAGTTGTATTATTTCATCTCCTTATCCATATAAAGCTAGAGATGGTTGTGGTTTCCCACTGTTCTTAGTCAATGTGTGTTCTTCATAGTATCTTATGGATTCTCCTGTTCTTGACACTATGGTAAATCATTCTTTCTTTATATCCACTTCAAGTAACACTCCAAGTGTGCTTTTTTCATGCCTGAATCTGGACTGATACAAAGCCTACAAATCATCTCTAGCCTATTTAATGATTACTTCCTTCATACTTCAAAACTACATTATTTTCAATGAAATGTATTTTATTTTGAACTGTGATATTTACCTCTGTGCTATTATTTGGTGTTTCAAATCCATTTGATGGGAGAAGTATTACAACAAAACTTGAAATAAAGATACTTCTAAGCAGCAAGACATGGCTTTACATGAATTGCCAGCATTTTCTTTTACACTTGGATAAAACTGACCTTTCCTCAAACCTTTCTCTAATGGATGACATTATGAAGAAAGGACTCTTCAGCCTCAAAAGGGCACTGTTTGGTCTAGTCTTCATTCAAAGGGTATACAGTCCAAGATGAAAGTAAACCTGGCACTTTTACCTGAGTCAGTTGGGGGAAGATGTCATTTAATCTGTTGGATAATGATGGGAAGAAGTCCCAGAGTCATTTCCTAGAATTAATGAGAAAATGGCATGCGGGAACAACAAGTTCCTCTCTTTTTTCTACTGCTTAATTGGCATGCATGTTTATCTGGGGGACTTTAAAAAGAAACTTGGCAGTAGATATATGACCACATCAAAAAAACTGGTTTGGATTGCTTACTCTTCCATAAGAGTTAAAGCTGGCAGCAGTGTTAGGTTTATTTTAATGCAATTAGTTGGAGCCTAACAAAGAAAATAAACCTTCCTTTATATCTTTCCAGTTTTGTATGTTCTCCTGCTAATGAGCCTCTAAGACTACCACTACCCTCAGGGTAATAATATAAATGTTTAATTTATGTTATTAATTAAATTGCTTAATTTAAATAACATTTAGATTCTGCACGAAGCATACATATAATATTTCTGAGAGTGTGACCTTAATGTGATTTTGCAATGTGTTTTCTTATCTAAGTGGCATCCATTTGCTAAGGAAAATATATGACATATTACTGATGCTCAGCTGGTCAGTAGAAATCAGGTGTAAATTTGCAAAGAAATGTATAACATAATGTAATATAATATCAATATACTATAAATTTATATTAATATATATGTACAAATATTCAAAGTGGGTGATTGAAATTATTCTCTTAACATAAATATAATTATTCAGTTAAAAGCATATTCAAGTACATTGTTAAAAAGGCAGGGATTTAAAAAATTATCAACAAATTCTCTTTAATGGCCCAAGTTCCTCTACTATATATCTAACCAAGCTAATTAAACTCGTAAGTACGAGACTGGAATAGTAATACTACTGGTTGAGTTCTGTGCTGGTGTGATTAAAAGGTTCTGTCAGAGACTAACCTTCACATATTAAGCTGGGGACAGCCTTTCAAAGAAATGATAGTGATAAGGCTTTGAGAGAGAGACTCAACACTAGAATAAAAGTTCAGCATGCCCCAAAGGATTCTGCAGTGCATGATGACTGGAGGTCTAAAAACTAATAAAAGATAAACTTTCTACAAAAGTGCTGTCAATATGAAAGGGGGAAAAAGGTGACTAAGAAATAGCCCCAAGAAAGAAAACTTGGGCAAGCTCTCTTTTTACAGCAAAACAGAATAAAAAGATTCAAATGAAGATACATTCAACCATCATACAGTTTTCTGCCTCTTTAAATGCATTTCCTAGAACTGACCTTTACAAAGTTTATTTCTAGTTTCTGGCAAAAGTGGAAGAATGAAAGATCACTGATAGAGCTGTTGGGTAGTTTAGATGGAAATGGGCACTGGGCGGGGGAGAGGAAAGGGAAAGGAATGACCCAGAACACAAGGAACCTGAGCTGTCAATCAACCAGAGTTCAGGAACCTGAGTTATCAGTCAATCAATCAATCAATCAATCACAAAACCAGGATATAAAAACAGGAACGGCGCCATGCTTCCTCTCTTGGATTGGCCTGCTCTCAATTCCTGGGAGTGTACTAGCTTTTACTTTTCTTACTTCACTAATAAAACTCTTGCTTATATCACACTTTTTGTCTCTCATCAAAAATTCTTTTTTTTCGGTGACTAAGAACCGAGGTAATTATTTTCCTTTTCCCGGTAGTACTAATTTTGGTGCCGTGGCTCAATGGCGTGCTTAAACCTAATCTTTCCTCCTTCATTTCCCCCTTCCTCCCTGAGGCCAGTGCAGCACAAGCTCCTGGGGCTGGTTGTGGAGCTGGACAAAGAATACAAGGCATGGAAGGGTGAGCAGCCACTGGCTAAAGGAGATCATTCCAATCAGACCACGGAGATACCCAGCACAAGGTAGGACTCTGGCTGTTTCCCCCTTTCTGGAGTGGAGGCTGAGACGTCAGCTTCTATCCCCAAATCAGGACCCTAGGATGCTAGGCACTGCTGAGTCATGGCTACCCTCTAGGATGCATTTGGTTGTAGACAGAGGCTTAGACATCAGCCTAGTCCATGGGCTTTTCACCTTAGGCCCCCCAGCTCTGAAACCCCCCTGTATCCTACCCTTGTTTTAGATGGGAAACCAAGAGTCTATCCCTGCTGGGACTCCTTGGGCTGCACATTGGCCAACTGGGACCATTTTAATCTACGAACCCGCAAAAGAAAACACTTAGCTTCCTTAAAGCTGTGCTGCTGGAGTACTAGCACAGGTTCTCCTCTCCTGCTGCCTTCCCCGTTCAGCAGCTTCCATGTGGACCCTCTAACTGTAACCTACTCCTCTATTTATGCTCCGCTTTCTCTGGCTGTCCCAGTAGAGAAGCTCTCCTGCTCCTGGATCACCGACCACCCAGGGATTAAAACTATTTCCTTGGGCTGCGGAGACTCCCAGCTCACGGTAAGACTGCGGCCGCTTTCCCCATCCAGAGAGAACACCAGGACGCCTGGTCCCCCTTCCGCGGGCCAGTGACCCTGGGACACCAAGCTCTCTTAAGTCCATGGCTTCAGGGTACTCTTGGCTACAGGCAGAAGACTGAGATGTCAGACTATAGCCTGTGGGCTTCACCTCAGGACTCTGGGCTCTGAAGACCCCCATTCCCCCAGTATCCTGCCCTTCAGAGGGAAAGTCAATAGTTGATCCCTGCTGGGACTCCCCTGGGCTGCATCTTAGCTAAAAGCATGGCCCATAAATAGGAGCATAAATTCAACCTCCTTGCTCCAGATTAATTTCTTCTACAATACAGAAGGCAAATGGTCTAAAATACCATAAATCCAGATCTTTTACTTGCTGAGGGACAGCAATGATCTCCTAAAGAAATGCAAAATAACCACCTTGGCCATGGTTACTGTCAGCGACCTGCTGTCTCCAATACCTCCTTGAGGGGGGGACTCTGTTAAACGTATGTCCTCCCCTGCTCTCCCTACCATATACCCCTCATTTCCCTAATACCCAGGAAAGATACTGCCTTCAGGTCCTCCATTACCTCTGATAGCTAAGACCTGCCCCAATAGAAACAGGTGGAAAATTTGGTCCACCAACTCATACATAAGCCATTTTCTCTGGTAGAGCTGAGACAAATTAAGACTAATTCGGTAAGCTACTCAAATAATCCAGATAAATACATATGGGCATTCCAGCACCTTGCTCTGTCATATGGTCTCACCTGGAAGGATGTTAATTTTATCCTTGGCCAGACCCTGTCTGACGCAGAAAAGGAAAAGGGTCCTCAGAGAAGCCAGGAAATAAGATAGGATTCCGGGCAGCCCAACAAATGTTATCAGTTATTCTAAGGTGTTGGCTGTTAGTCAAGAGTCCAGAGAAGACCTCACCTCCTTTTTAGCACGACTCCCAGAGGCACTTACTAAGTGTACTAATTTGGACCTTAGCTCATATGAGGGACAAATCATCTTAAAGGATAAATTTCTCACCCATCTGCCCTCAATATTAGATAAAAACTCTAAAAGCAACCATTGCTATCACAAGTTTTTAAAGTTGAGATCAGGTGCAAGAGGCCAAGGCTCAGGAGAAAGGACGAAGGAAAGAGGCCAGGCCTGTCCAGATGATTACAGCCCTTTGAGGGCAGCCACCATCCCTAAACCCCTGGCCCCCAGCAGCCTGAGACTGGCCTGGTGATCAATACAACATCTGCTACTGACCTGCTCAGTGGGCCAAGAAATGTCCCCATAAGGACAAACCTTCAAGATCCGCCTGTTTTTGGTGTAACAAGCAAGGTTATTGGGTGGCCCTCTGTCCCTTGAGCCAGATGGCCCATGGGGGATAACCGGCCTGTGGCCTGCAGATGGTTGTCTGGGACTAAAGAAGCCCCCTACAGTCAGCCCCAATGCAAGAGATCTTCATCACTGTGCTGGAGCCACAGGTACAAATGGATGTGGCAGGTAGGACAATCACTTTCCTTTTGGAGACTAGGGCCACCTACTCTGTCCTGACTTCCTTCTCCAGACCCTTCTCCTCTAGATCCTACAACACACCTGTCCTTCTGGTCATTAGGAAGGATGGGGCCTATAGACTAGGACAAAATTTAAAAATTATAAATGAGGATATAATGCCTCTTCATCCAGTGGTTCTAAACCC